CCCCCTCCCAGCCACTAAATTACCCAGGCTGTTTCAGGGCCTCTCCAAGCATATTACAGTCCCCCCTGCACCCATTCAAGGGGGCATTGTCCAGTGCCATGCACCACAAGGACCCTGGTGGCCCCAACCCTGCCAGATGGGAGACAGCTACAACGGGCATGCCAGTGCTCAGCCCCCACCCCAAGCTCTTTATACTCACAGCTCACGCCAGTCCCTTGCACCACGCTGACAACTGTATCCGTAATAAGTCCCAGGTAGAGATGAATAGCTTGTTCCAGGTCATGCCACTGCTTGGGAGACAGCCCCTGATGGGCCCAGGGCTGGTGGAAGCGAATGGGGCAAGTACCACAGTCCATGGTATGGGTGGGGACATCGCCCAGCAGCGCGGTGCCCTGGCTGTCAGCTGCTCTGGTGGTGTCATGGAAGACCATGGTCGCCAGCAGCCGAAGGATCTGGGGTTCCATGGGGGCCGGCAAGGGGGGCATGGATGATGACATGGGGAAGGCTGCAAAGAAAGCAAAGGTCAGTGGTGGGGCAAGGCCCACCCCGAATCTTGCACAAGCACCCCACCAGTCCCAGCTCCAGAATCTGGGCCCTCCGCACACCGAGCAGGGACCCCCATGCCACAAAGAGGCCAGGCAGGAGGCGAGGAAGCTGCTGCATCATTGCAAGGCAGCCGGGAGTGGGGCCCTGGTAGCTCTCACACCCGCCCACATCAACTTCTCCCTTCACCTTCCTGCCCACAGAGGTCAACCCCTGTGCCTGGCCAATCATGTTGAGGAGGAGGGAAGCCCCGCCCCACTACCCTGGGTGTCCCCACTGTGCTGCCTTCCCCCAGGCTGGGGCAATGTTTAAGCTCCTCTCTAGGACTGGGGGCTACTGGTGCTGCCTAGGAGAGTGCCCCTGCTGCCCACTCTGCAGCACAGCACCTCCTACTGCCCCTGCCCCAGATTACTGCTCCTGAGGCTGGTGGGGGGATTGTCCTCCCCCCCACCCACCCGAGCTCAGCCCCCACTTCCCTGGCTTTGGCAGGCAGGTTTCTCAGGCTTGGGCCACGGCCAATACACCACAGAGCAACAGCTCCCCACAGCCCCCAGCATAGCTACTAGATTAGAAAATTTATCACTAATAGGTCTGGTAGGCAATACAGCAGGGGTAGGCAACGTTTTTTAGCCACAGTGCTCAAAAAACTACAATGTCTGACCGAGCAGCACATGCCTGAAGAAGAAGCATCCAGAAACCTTGCCCAGCAACACAAACGGTATAAAAGGGGCAAGAGAACGGATGACGCGGGGAAGAACCTGCTTCACCACCAAAGCCCATACCTGTGCGTGCCAGGTCAGATACTCTACTCCATCAATGGATAGGGACTGGCCATCCATACCTGCAGCACCCTTGGGATGGATTATGTAAGTGTGTCATCTGTGAGAATGTATGTATGTATGTATGCGTGATTGTGCGTATGGTAGGGTAACGCAATTTCTAATAAGTGAATGGTCTCTAACAAGTCTAGAACTCCCCACTGAAAAGAAACCAACTTTTGTCAGTAGCCTAATTTTGGGGTAACATCAGGTGCAGGGAGACACCAAGACCCAGCTCCGCCTCTGGCTCTGCACTGAGATGACCCCAATTCTGCTGTCAGGGGAGCTGGCTGCTGGGGCAGGGGAGCAAGGCTGAGCCCTCATAGCCTGCAGGGAGGTGGTGATGGGAAATGAGTCACCCTCACCCCTGGGACAGGCTCCCCCAGGCTGGGCAAGATCCTGCTGGGGGCTGGTGGAGATGGGCAGCAGGCTGTGGAAGGATGATTGCTGTGGCTTGGAGATCAGTGGAGCCTGCCCACACAACCTCTGCGCCTGGTGTCAGGGGGGCTCTGGCCTGAGGCCATCTCTGCAAGTGGACAAGGCCCACCCAGATGCCTGAGTCCATGGGTCACAAACCAGGCTTTGGCACCAGGCAGGGGAAGTGGGACCAAGTAGAGGGAGAGAGCTCTGGTTCCAGTAAAAGCCCACAAAGGGAGAACTTGGTCCTGTGTCTCCCCCACATCTGCTTCCTGCTGCCTTCTCAGCGAGAGGTCAGAGGGCCGGACTCTGCTCCTGGCAGGGCTTTTACACCCCCCGCTACTGCCCCATATAGGAGAGAATCCATGCAATGAGCCATGTGGGGGTCTCAGACTTGTCAGCAGCACCCAGTGTCCCACAGGAGAGAGCAAGCTGAAAGGTCCCCCAAGGGAGGAAGCAGGGTGCAACCCCTTCCCTGAGACCTTCCTCCCTGCTCCTCCTCCCTTGCAGACCACAGTCCATGGCATGGGTGGGGACATCGCCCAGCAGCGCGGTG